CTGCCCCCTGCCGGCCGGGGCCGCACCTCGGCTCTGACTGGCGCGGCGGTTCCGAAACAAATGAGCGCGACCGCGGGAAGGAGTGTTCGCGGGCTGCACCGAGCCCCCTCCCCGGACACTGCGTGGGCATGAGGCCTCCGGAGGGCTCTGGGGTAAAACCGCAGCCAGCAGGGATTCTGCCGTTTCCTTCAGTGGGGGCGGGATGCCATCCAGCGCAGCCCCGGGGCAACACAGAGGCCTCTGCGCAACCTGTGCGGAGACAACTGGAGTGGGTGAGCTCACACGCGCCTGTACGGCAACCATAGGCACAGCGTGCAGAGGAGGACGAGGGCTCTTTAATGTCCTTTCATTTCTAAGATTTCGGGTCATCTCAGGCCAACGGAGTCGCATAAAGTGTCTCTTGCTGCAGCGAGAAGGGGTTAGTCACACCTTTGTGGACCACGCTGGTGTCCCAGTATTTTCACGAGGCTGCTGAAGCGGGCTCAACGGCCACGCCGATTGCCCAGAGCCGTCTTACTTCAGCTGCGCTAGCCCCAGGTGCGTCTCTAACGTAAGCTGAGTTCAACCAAGGGCTACTGGCAAGAGCTGGTCAGAAAAACTGCTTTTTTTTGAAATTTGGGTAATGGCAGCTTTTCAGAGATTGAAATTTGATCGGAAAATACTGCTGGAGTGGTTGTTGTGGGTTATACCAAGTACCTCCCATCCCTGTGCTGTTTTATGGGTTGAATGACTACCTTGTTTTGGTGATGCTAATGAGGTATTACGGCTGTGATGCCTGAAGAGAGATTAAATAGAATTAGGGCACTTGGACACAGAGGAAAGTGAGCACAAGACGCTGCTGAAGGACAACACCCATGAATTATAAAATAATTGGATTTACAACAAGTATTCAGTCTGCGGACATTGCTTTTTTCCTAATGGTTTTATCTGAGAGGTAGACAGGCTAGAAAAAAAACGTTCAGGTAAAATGGAGAAAGGAGAGGAGAGGAGAGGAGAGGAGAGGAACCCCATCCCTGAGGGGGGACCCCCCACCCTGCCCC